AGCGCGCGATAAAGTTCCGGATGCTAGTAAAACTTTCCGAACGTTATTACAGCTAATGACAGAATGGGATATTCTATTGAGCGCTATATCGCATGTCAGACTGTTTGAAAAAAACGTTTTGCAAAGCAACGCAAATTTATTTTGGAAACGCATAAACTGAAATTTCAATTATTCGTGATCTCAATTTTGCAAATATTTTATCCGAAACTTGTAAACTAAACTTAATAAACTATTTATGGAATTTATCCGTTGTTCCGTTTAAATATCCAGTTTGAAAGAAGCTAAAAGTTGACTTTAGAATTCACAAGTTTAGACTCGCGCTTTTACTTGATGAAAAATCCAAGATGATTACTTTTGCTTTACTTGAAAAAGGATTTCAGGATGCAGCGAGAAAGCCGTGAACGAAAGCATGGCTGTTATTACTATACGTATCATTCAACTATCCTTCGCAGCTTATATTCCTGTATAGAGAGATTTGGTATCGTCGTCGCCATCGACTCACACATGAAAAATTTAAACGCTTATCGATGCTGGTGTCGAATACTCTCCCGTGCAATAATATTGTACATTATCCTGTTCAAAGGATATAGGATATCACGGAGCCACGATAAAGAGAATAATTATTCGATGCACCTCATTATAAATATACGTATACAATGTTTCATTCTTCCCGATTATTTAATAAACGTGTATTTTGAAATATATTAAAGACAAAAAAATATAGAAAATAATTTTATGTAAAACAAAATAATTTTTAGAAAACTTTATATATATATATATATATAAAATGTGGGCATATGGTTGGTACGAGTTTATTTTAAATTCTATTCAGATAAATATATCTTTTACCTCTCTAAGTAGAAAACAAATATTATGTAGATATACAAGCGTACGAATAAAATCTGCGGCTACAAGTGATATCTTTATGTCGACAAAAATATCTGAGTTGTCATCGGAAATACAGCAGAGCATAATCGCATAACAAATATGAAAGCAAGCATGATGAACGAAGAGAGATATAAATAAGAGTAAAGAAGAAAATGAAAGCTTCTTAAGATAGCGCTTGTATAGGAAAAGAAAATGCACCGTAATGTAAATGGAAGGTACTTCCCGTAAATGTAAAGACGAGCACTTTTGGCAAATTTTCATCCCAGTTGAGCATCTTGTGCTTAGTAATTTAAGTTTAAATGCACAAAAAGTAAAAACTGCAAAATAACATGAGTAGACTTCAAAATTATTCTATTTTAATCATTAATCTATATCCTTTATATAAAAATATTTACTTTCTAAAAAAACTATGTAAGAAAGTCTTATTTGCAAGATAAAGGAAGTGACAATATTTTGAATGTTAAAAAAAGACAATTTTATTTGAGAATAAAAAAAGTTCTTTCGTTTTCTGAATTTTATATTATTTTACGTAATTATATGATATAATGCTCTCAAAAAAAAAAAGCAATATTGTTTATTAAATATGTTTAGTGATTGTAGCAAAACAACGTAATACTCATTTATCAAACAAAGTAAACTATAGAGAGATAAATCTAGTAACCGAGCTGAAAAGAGGTGAAAAGAAGAGAAATAATAATAATATCACAAAGTTGACGGGACGCCACGAGGTGACGTAGTCCGCTGTTTTTCGTTGACAGGAGTATCAGCGTCATAAAAGAATTTGCATTATAGTTGAACTTCCCAGCCCGATAATTCTGGTATAAATTACATGTAATAATATCCACTGCGAAGTTGCGCAATCATTAAATGCAAAACGGCAATATTAACACGAGACGTATAAACTGCGCGCGATTTTATATAACGAAAAACATTTTAAAAATAAATATTCATAAAATGATAAAGCAGGTCATTGGATTATTTTTCACGGCTTATATTTTATGATGTATAAAATATGTTGTGCTATTCATGCCAATATCTAATTATTATGATAGAACACGTGAAAGAGAATTTCGAGCTCGGTCTGACCTTTCCCGCATGCTGCTATTGAATGCGCACTTGCGAGGTGGTTCAAGAACAAATGAGCGAGACGTTGGGACGGCTGTTGCGGCGAGAATAGTTCGACGTTTCCATAGACAAGCAGCCCGAGCTAATTTGCATTGCGGTGAAACATCTCGTGTTGGAGTTGGCTGCATCCGGGTAGCCATCCACGGCACTTCATGTCGACTCCCGAAACGTCGATACACCTAGTATGCGTCGCTCGCGGCGCACGCGAAACTAATAACCGTGCAGAGTGTTTCGAGAGAATAATCTCTGCTGTTCTGTTATATGCTTCGCAGATGCTCGATCTAACGAATAAACCACTTATATATACGTGAATGCGCATGTCAGAAAAATTAATTCGATTTATCTTGCAGATAGAAAAAATATATTAGACATATTTTTTATCTTTGAAAAATTTTTACCCATATAATAATTTGTAAATTAGAAATTTAATTCTTTATTATTTAATAAACTACAATTAAAATAATTTTAATGCGTTTAAAGCTGACAAAAACCAATAAATTTTATTAACCGTATACAAATAAATTATATTTCTATTTTATTTTCCAAATAATTAATAACTTTTGCCCGCCTCAAAATAAATTAATTACTCTCAAAATAATCACAAAAGCTTTAAAATTTCTCTAATTTATTCTGAAATACCGTTAGTATTATAGCGTTTTATAAAAGAGCGAGGATACTCTTATGAGTCAAGTTAACGCAAGTGCAAGCGCGCGTTTCCGAATACGATTAAACTTCATAAGCGAGCCGTTCTGTCTTACGTCTGTCGAGTACGCGAAAATCCTTGAATTAAATCAAACACGTCTTGCGCAGCTTAAAGAAAATCCAATCTACAGTGAGAAAGGCGGAATTTTCTAAAGTGCGCAAAGATGTCTTCTAAATGAAAAACGAATTATTCGGAAAACTTTTGATATACACGCATATTAAGTAGATTGAGCGTGCAGATGCTAGTTTGTTGTTTATTCGACGGCGTAATTTATTGCGAATAAATTTAATGGACATTTTTGATGAAAAAAGAAGGACAGATCGATAAACGCGAACCTTCTTCGCGTTTATGCCACGCATGTACGCTGCAGTCTGAAAAGCCGCGTAGTCGCAATCGAAACATGATGACAATGCGTCACGTTTTGTCCTCCACCTCGTTTGAGTCGGCATGAGATCTTGCACGAACGCGTGACACAATGCCGCCATTATGGTGCGGGGAAAACGAATTTGGGAAAGTTTTCACGGTGCTTGAGGTGCGTCAGGTGCTTGACTTCCCGGTGGCCCCAGAGGCAAAATTGTAGAAACGATTGATATTGTCAAGAGAAAATTCGTCTGATTCGACGATAAATTTTTCCACATTTTTTTCTTGTTAAGCCAGTTTATCGATGGAAAAGCATTTATGATATAATTAAAAAATTATGACTGCAAATACTATTAAAATAGGAGTAATAAATTGACTTAAACAGTTAAAATTAATTTCTAAAGACATCAGCTATATCAAACTTATTTTTAAATCGAATTTCTTCGATATCTGCAAGTATGTATTAATCATGCATAAAATCTTCCCAATTAAAGGTATCAGTTTAATAACATAAATTTATGATATTTCCGCAGTCATACATTAAATTAAATTTTATATTTAAATTTAATAAGATAATTTAATCAACACAAGGTGCATTTAAAGTATAAGTTTATCGGTAAATAAACCACTAAAGTTTCAATCCGTAGAATATCGTTTGCGTATAGTATACAAGCAGACGCGAAAACCATCGAGGAATATTAGCCATAAGGCGTGGCTGTGCGACATAAAAAAGCCATCTATGAAAAAATACGTCGCACAGTTTTCTGTTTTAACGCTGTCCGTCACTTTTCACTGCTCTCCACGTGACGTCATGTGCCTATTCGATTGATGTTAGTGTTTCGCAATATCGCAATATCGCAATTCGTATGAAATTCGAATGAAACGTGTGTGTACGTAGGAACACTCAAATTACACTTTCAAACTCTAATTAATTCGGATATTAATTGGAATGTAATATCTATCATTCATGTGGCATTCTCATGCATTCGATCTGTCGTTCGGCACACATGATTGATATGAATGAGAAAAGTTTCTTGCGTTAATATTATTCAGATTTTTACTGAATGTATTGCTTCAAAATTATTTTATGTTAAAAAAGAAACTGATAAAATAAAGACATCTTTAATTGTCATGAAAAAAAAAACAAAAAACCTTAATTTAGAGCAAAAATAGAATGTTCATAATTAGTTTATAAGTTTATATTTCCAGATATCAAAAAAATTTTATTTTTAAAAATAAATCTAATATAAAAAGCTGATGTCTTTAGCAATTAAAATTCAGGTTGTCTAAGTTATTTATTATTCTAATTTTGTAATATTTACTTTATATAAATATGACATAAAAATCAAATTATTAAATATTATCATTGCTCAATTATTATTAATTAAGAATTTATTTAATTTTTGCTTTAAATCTATATCATAAATTAATTTTGAAAAAGTTTTAAAAGTTTAACATTGAATTTCAGTATTTATAATTAATCGAAAATCTGTTTTTGGCTTAGTTTTCAAAGTATCATGTTTAATTTATCATAAAATAATATTAAGATTTTCAATGCGACTGTTTTATCTTTAATCTTCTTAATCTTCTCTTATATTGAGTGCACTATTTTGTCAATAATTTATTAAAGCGGATTTCTGCGAGTAAAAATAATCTAAAAAAACCTACTTTGATATAAAATGAGATTACACGAAGAGAAAATTATTTCTAAAGTACCAAGATTCTACGAATTCAATAAGTTTGCTTAATAAGTTTAAGGATCTTAAAAAGCAATCCGCGAAAAAGTAAGTTGCCGCGTTAAGCTCCGATTTTTCATTAAATATATGGCAAGCACTGTTATCCCAGGAAACTGGGTTTGTAACCCAGACTCATGTGATATTTCGCTCTTGTATACTGACCATGTAACTAGCATAATTGTACTCACCACTCTCCGCAGTCGGGTAAAAGTTGAAGGATGAGTCCTGGAACCAGGACGTGACCGCGACATATTCCTTGACGAAAGCTGGTATCTCGCACCTGAGCACTCCGGTGTTGCCCGCCAGGACATAGGCGTCTCGCACTTGTACTTCGTACTTCTGGCGCACCACTGCCAAAAAGAAAGTTACGACCGCTTTAGCGAAGAATGAATGCCAGGGTGGTATGCCTGGAATACGGAGATAGCGAGATATGCCTCGCTATCGTTCCCAACGACAAAGGCTCGCGGGACGATAAAAAAAAAATATATATATATATATATATATAAAAAGAGAGAACAGAAGAAAGAAAAAGGGGAAAAGGTTACATCGCCGTGAAACGGGATGTCAGACTCGTGAGGATAATACCGTGGAAAAATGGAAGAACCGTCCCGGAAGAGAGCTTCTCTCCCTCAACGCGTAGCGCCACGACGCTCTGCTCCGTCCGGAATTCATTGTTTCAATTCGCGCGACTGCTGGCTGATTTCGGCGATACCGAGCAGATCAGTCTTCGAGTACTTTTTCAGTGAAATTCGCTTTTTATCGTGACCGTCTTCATCTTATCGACCATCACGATATACGTTAATCTTCCGGCAGAGGCGGAGATGAAGACGAGGAAAGCGGGTCGAATATGACGGTTTTAGGAGACGGCAGGAATGCTATGTGTCGCGCGACGATATATCGTAGCTGTTCTATAAGCAACGTCAAATCCGAGTGATGAATATTGCTTCTCCCGGCGAGCTTCCCGAATCGGAAGACGATCATTTCTGCTGTCCGCGTGATTAATAATACTCGCTATTTCGCATAGCAAGCATATTCTTGGACAAAGCCGGAATCGATTTCTCTTTTGGTAAAATTTGAACCGCTTCCGATTACTTAGCATTCAAAAATTGAATATCGAAAGTATAAATCTGTGAAGGAATTGAATAGACAACAAGCTCTTTCAATCTTTCAATGATTATTGTTTGACTTGTTTGATGCGTATCGCACGTCAACGAACGACAACAGTGCGAGCAACGAGCGGGCAGAAATGGCGCGTGAGATTGGATCTCCGTAATACTGTTATTTGCCGTGCGGCGCGCCGCTGACCCACCTAGAACGTACAGCCCGCGGTCTAGCCGCGCGCTATCATTCGTCAATCCTTTTTAATTAATATCTCATTTATTGCGATAATTGCAAAACGGACTTTTCTGTTCAGTTTACCGCGCTCTACCTGTACACGAGCGTTTAAACGAACATTATGAGATACTTTGTATAAGCAAAATGTAATTTCTGTCAGAAATACATAAAACTTTGATAAACTAATAAAACTTATATTGCGTTTATCATTGGAATGTGTACTGCATCATGTATTTGCTGTTTATTATTTGCTATTAACTAGCTTCCAACATTCTCTATTCTTAATTAATATCTTTAACAAAAGATAGCCGAGCACATTAACGTTGAAAGGTTATTAACATCGTAGTTCGGCACTTCTATCCTACCTCATTGTTCTCGCAAATACTAATTATTCTTTATAGTTTGATAATAAGTGTAAGATAAATTGTGAAAAGAAATATTCGCTTAATGGTTATATTTTTTGCTTACATTATACACCACAAAAAATATGAAACACTTTTCAGATAAAATTGAGCAATTTTTAAACCGCTGAAATTCGGTAAAAATCATCGTAAAAAAAAAAAAAAAAAAAAAAAAAAAAAATTAGAAAGGTTAGAAGTTTGAACTTTCATGTGCTTTTAATCGTTTAAAAAAATTTTTTATTTTGATAGTCCTGAGTAAAAAAAGAACACATTGTTTTGTTCTTAAATTACGTATTTTTAACACTCTGTAGCATGTTCGTGAACCTAGCATATCATTTTCCAGCAGATCAAAAATAAAAGAGAGTTCTTGTCGCATGCAGTCTAGTTCTATAGTTCCTTATAGTTTTTAGTAATAGTTCTGGTGATTTTATCCAAAAAAACACCAATCGAAAAAATGATCTGCTAACTTCCCGTAGCAGATCATTTTCTAGCAGATCAAAAATAAAAGAGAGTTCTTGTCGCATGCAGTCGAGTTCTATAGTTCCTGATAGTTTTTAATGATAGTTCTGGTGATTTTATAATAAAAAACACCGATCGAAAAAAATGATTTGCTACGGAAAGTTAGCAGATAAAAAATAGAGGACACTGAACATATATGTGATATGCTGGCCGTATATTGATAGTTCTGTTGATAATTAAAGAGTTTTCGTGTAGTTCTGAGTCAGTACATTGCTTTTCCAAAGAGTTCTGACGACTAAAATAATTAGAAAATTTTTTAACAATTATTTTACTTGAAAAACACGCATTTTTGTACATATATGTGATATGCTGGCCGCATATTGATAGTTCTGCTAAAAATAAGACAGTTCTCTTCTAGTTCTGGGCGAGTACATTGCTTTTCCAAAGAGTTCTGACGACTAAAATAATTAGAAAATTTTTTAAACAATTATT